ACTTACAAGCGTTATCTCGTCCATCCGGAAGTTGAGAAAAACGACTCCAAGTATCATCGATTGGAGAATAAACTTCAACGGCATTCCACAATTGGTCGTAAGTAAAGCCGCCTAACACGAAAATTCTGTCATTAAACTTGCAGGAGGACGCCCCATAGCGACTGAAATCAGTGAACAAAACAAAGTCAAGAACGATTAAACAATAATCGTTATTTCATTAGCCAACTCTGGCCGTAATTAAGAAGACTTACGGGGTTAAGATTTTGGCCACAAATTGCCATCCGAGCCTCATATCAGAAACATCCAAACGTTCGACAGAATCCTCAAGACGCTTTTCAGCCATACCAGAAATTGCATAAATGAATGTTTTATACGATTCGGCCGCAGGATGATAACGACCTATTTGCAGTCGCTGAGGCATTATCTTCCAGCCCTCGCTGAAAGCAGAAGTATCAAGTACCTCACAACTGGTCAGCCTCTCAACTAAAATTGAATGTATTGAGTTAGTATATTTCGAAACTATTAGTAGATCTCTAATAAGGACACAAGTCAGGTTATTTAAAGCGTTGTAAGGTCTATTATGAGAATTTCCAAAATGAAATGATTAGCTTCCACGATGTCATTGAATTTCGCATACACTTATCCCTTAAAAGAGTTCGTCGTCCAAATGGACTATAGTTTCGAATTCTCCTAGATCTTATTAACACACTATCAATCCTTACACTACTTGAAAGGGCCAAATGTGATTCATGTCCTCATGTTAAATTGAATGGAAAAGCAAAAGCTAATGTTGAATAACATTTTAGGAATAGCATTTAACCGCACTTAAGAATTAAGAAATTTATTAGATAATCTATTAGAGCATTAGAGGCAGGAAAATAACATGCAAACAGGATAAGCCGAACTGTAGCTTACGACTTCTCTTCTTGTGTCCACCAAATACAAATACCCGCTGTCCGACTTTACACATTCCAAAACCATGCCTTCCTATATTCATATCTGGTCCGCTTGACCACCTTAATGTCGAGGAATCGAGAAAATATGTGCTCGAGGAAGCTTCTTCATCGAGAAATCCACCAGTGAGAAGAATATTACCCCCCTCTATGACCAGAGCAGATGCACAAGCAAGCGGTTTAGGCAGCTCGGCCACTTTCCAGGATTGCCATTTGGATGTAGCAGATAACGAGATGCAAGTTACGGAAGAAACTGAACACCTCGTTATGGATTCAATGCCGCCTAGGAGACAAACGACATCACTCTAAGCCAAAATAAGGGAAGACACAAAGTGCGAATTTAATAATAAATAAATTTTTTATATTTCCTACCAGAGGTAGACAAGGCTACGATCGTGACCTGACACTACTAATATTCTTGGTACATTCTCAGACGTGTATACTAAGGACAAGGTGCGATCCTCTAGGTCTACCTGCTAATGAGACCAAGCTGTGAAATTAAGGT